GGCTCCAAAGAACCGCCCATTTCCACGAATTGTCTATACGAACCAAAATGTTCGAAGGTTCTGGAGTACAAAATATATTTACCCTGGCTTACACTTGCTAACGCCTGAAACTGCAAATGTGCTAAAACTAATCAAACAGTAATAGGACCGAAAATAATTACTACAAGATATATCAGTCGATACGGTTTTGGTACGGAGCACCAAGATGATAAAAATGGTCTAAGGTAGAAAAATAAGTAGTACTTCCAGGAAAGAAATAACGAAGGACTAATATAATGACCAGTAAAGGTCAAAACCATGATAACTCAATTGATCTTTATAAAACTAAAATTAAGCAATTATTTCCGAATAGTGTAGTTTCCTGGAAACAGCTCGAAATGTTATTATCGTAATCTCCTGTAATGGGCTCCTGCGTAGTAAATGGGCTCCTGAAATAATTCAATATTTACTACTAAAAATTCCGTATTAGCCGCAGTTTTTTTTTATGTTTTCACTTGATACACTTTTTAAACCACAGTCTACAGGAATAATGCGCATTCTAGTTTATTTTATGACGCTACAATTCGTCCAGTAATGAACTACGTAAATGCGATTTGGACAAATTGTAATAAGGATAATCTAGGTAGGGTGCTTAAACTCCAAAAACGAGCAGCGAGAGTTATATTGTTTTCTGATCGTCTGACTTCGTCTATTGAGCTTTTTAACAAACTGCATTGGCTACCTTTTTATGAGGACGCCGATATTTCGAGATGCTGTATTGTTTATAAACGCTTAAATGGGAATGTACCATCTTACATCAACGCCTTACTTAAATGCAATAACGAAGTACATTCTCGCAGTACCAGATACTCTAACTATAACCTAGTCTGCCCAACACTGACACAAGAACAACAGAAGGGGGCAGAAGATTTACGATCAAATGCTGCAATCTCTGGAACTCTTTACCTTTAACATTAAGAAAATCGAAATCCTTGGAGTCTTTTAAAAACAGCTTGTATAGAGAATTTTTTAATAAGCAGAAACTTAAACATCATTTTATTGTATAATGACTAAGTTTGTATTACGTTATAGAAATTTATTTTAATATTAGTATATTGTTATAATTTGTATTTTAAAGTTAGATTTTTATCATTGTATTTTAAGCATTTTTATTGTAATTTCTTATTAATTCAGTATTGTAAATAGTATAAATATCATTAGTTTTTAGAGTTTTTTATTAGAGGGCCACAAGTTTATTAGCCTCGCTATTACGTGCTACCCTCTATAAATAAATATACTGCTACTACTACTACTACTAGTTTTATATTGTTTTCCCAGATCTTCCGTTCACGAGAAAAAAGTCCAGTCCTCGAAAAGGAACATGTCATCTGCGAACAGACTGGGCTCGAGCCGGCATGGCGTCGTGCGAGCGTAGTTTGTCTTTGTAGCTCGATCGCTTTATTGACTGTTCTACCCCAATAGCTGAGGTAAGAAAAACTTTATAAGGGCATGAAGTAATCATAGTGTACATAGTGATCACCTTTATGTACAGTTGCAGAAAGAAAATACAGTGGAATCCCGATTTCTCGAACCCTCGTTTTGCTCAAAGACCCTGATATAAACTCGAACCAAAGGCCCTTGGATTTGTTTCACTGTAAGATTACCCCCGATATTTCGAACTCCCGATTTCTCGAATCAATTTTCGTTTCCCTTGGAGGTTCGAGAAACCGGGGGATTCCACTGTAAGACGGACGCCATACTTGATGAGCCCTGATTCGATTCTCAGACGGTCCGACTGGGGAGGGTACTTGGGTCAACTTTTGCCGGGTATGTACCGCTGGTCTCTCAGAGCCCCCACCCCGTTATAGTCTATTCTGTTGCCAATTATAGACCCTGTCTTAGTCACCTTTTTTGAAAACGCGATCCCAACTTCGTCACTTTGTGTTTATGCATCTACCTTGAATTGTGAACCCTTTTAGCTACAGGTCTTCCTAAAAATACTGAGATAATTTAGCAGCTATTTCCAGAGACACATTTCAGTCATTCAAGCTGTTTCAAGCTCTTTCAATTTCCAATGAGGCAGTCTTGTTGAAAATGTGACCCCATTCTAGTCACTCTTTTAAAATTACAACCCCATTATGGTCAATCCAGTCGTGAAAATACGACCCCATCCAGTGGCACCCCCCATTAGCCTCTTACTAGGAAGTACCCCCTTCGGGTCTGAATCGCTCATTCTGAGAGCGAGTGACTCGGACCTGGGACTGTCTGAGAATCATCATCATCTTCAAAGAAATTGATGGCCTCGCATTAACAAGAGTGTTTTTGGTTTAACAGCTGCAAAGCCTTGACCCTTTAGATGCAAAATATTTGTATTGGAAATCACAATGTCAACCTATATTAACATCAGATAATGTTTCAAATTTTAACATGATATTTAACAAATAAGCCTGCATTGGATTATTTGAGATGATAACATAACCAATGAGGTGCGATTTGTGCCAAATTGGTTATGGCTCCATCAATTCCAAGCCCGACCATGCCCCCCTCCCCCCCCAGGCATTTTACAACTTTTCCATTCATGGGGTGGGGCATTTTCCAAAATACAAAAAACCACTGCACATCACTGATCACTATAAATCCGGAATCTAACAGGAACCCATATCGGGACATAGCGGGACAGACAAAAACTGCTGAAATTCTAAGGGTGAGTGGATAGGAAGGTCAGACAATGGCAGACAGCAATGAGAAAAACTGCCCGCCCTTCGTGTCACATGTGTGAGAAAAACATTTTCCACTTATTTCGTTCCACTCAGTCACCCTTAAAAATTTTGGCTTTTCAGAGCCTCCTCCCCTCAGAATTTCCAATGACCTTCCTTGGAGTGGGTATGGATATTTTCTGGAACCGCACAAATCAAACCCTCACAAAAAATTGAAGTAATTGACCACAGTCAAATGTATGATTGAATGGTGATTGGAAAAAAGATATTGACATATTGCATTTGATTGAAAATGGATGTGGCATCCGCATGGAAATACTGTACAATGTACATGTCTATTGAGTGTGACAGGCATGAGTTTGTAGTGTGTGTTGAACTTATTTCTCGCAATGTTCTCACAGACCGTTTCAAAATATTTCTCACATTATGAGTAGATTTTGAGTGTTTTTATATTTTGCTCGATTGTGTTCTATTAGGTTTGGAAATCAAAAGCAATCAAACACTGTCACACAATTTATTGGGTTTCAGTTGTGTTCAATTACTAAACCCAGTTGTTTGATTCGGTTTGATTACTGAACGGTTCGATTAGTAACACCAGGCAGGAGTTATAGCAAGTTTAGTTATAGTTTGGTGTCACAAATAATTATTATAATAATTTCACTTATTATTTTTTTACTTGAATCATGTGATAGTCATGTTATATGTTTGAGATCACAACTTTGAAAGGGTTACTTTTGAGTTGTCGTTCCTCTCCAGATTTCCAAACATCCAAACAATTTTATCACTACTTCCGGCGGGTCATTACTAACAGAACTTCACGGTAATTAAACTGCACGCTTAACCAATGCTAAATTGAGATGAGAGAAAGCACATAATTTGTTGTTGTGGGATGTTTTTGTTGCAATTATAGGGATCCCTCAAAACTACAATAAATCACTATTCTGGCCTCACAAAACTAATAATAATATTATACATTCCAAAAATAACATTTACTTACTAGAGTGAGGAATAAAATTGATAGTTATTTATTGATTTTATTTTTTATACATGCCTGCCATATTCTGCCATATTCTGCATCACTACAAATGTGCGGTGTGCTCTCTAAAATAATCAATCTAAAATGTGTTTTAAGAAGGGTGGCTTTATTCCAACAAAATTAATGATCACGAAATTATGCAGCAAATAGAAATCTCAACACTAAAATGTTACCTGCCATCATACATGCATTGTACAATTTACATGCCCTGGCAATTACTCAGTAAGTCTAATTCTGATCCTTTGAATTTTTAATGAGGAATTTAGTTGTGTGTCTCAGTCGTCATTCACATGCATGGAAGACCACAAAATATGACACATACATGTAATAATATTGTTGAATGTTGCTTTGGTCAATGTTAAAGCTAAAACATGAGTTTCTGTCACACTCTTCAAATTGGATACAACCCAGTGCTGAGTAGCTTCAGCATAAAGTTGTACAATGAATCAATGTAGTTGATTAACGCATTAAGAAAAAACTCAACCTAGACATTGTTTCTACTGAGCAACCGTGACATTAGCACTTGACTGGTTACCACTGTAAGCAAGTGCTAATGTTAATTAATTAATTAATTAAAAATGATAAGGATTTGTATGTAAAACTCTAAGTTTAGACGTTTTGCCATCTTCTATGTGTACATATCTTGTACCTTTGCATGTAGGTATATTCAAAATAACATAGAGGTACGCATTCAAATCTCATTTGAGCCGTCATGCTTAAATTTCAAACAGGATCATTTCTTCACTTTACATCTAGCCTGAGGTCAGGCTCCGAGAGAAGTCGCCGAGCGCTGCCTGCAGCGCTTGGGGATTTCTCTCGCAGCCTGATCTCAGGCTACTTTACATCTAGATAATTATACGACCTTACGTATGATCATTATATCCAAATTACCATAAAATCACCTTTAGCCTAGCTATTTGTTCCTATCCTTTGTTCTTTTCATAATAATCTCATTGGTTCAATTTGTGTAGGCAATATATATTTTCTTTTTTCAAGAAGATAGCTCACATGACCTTCAACTGCCTTTTATGATAAACAATAATAATTAACTGTATTCAGCCGTTCGTCCCAATCATGGGACAAAGAAACAAATTATGTCATGTACTGAGTTCATATGTTACATATGTCCTGCATACTGCTAGGATAAGTAATGTCGAAAGCATCAAGTGTGGTGATAAATACAAAGATGGTAAATGTTAAGCTTGTTCAGTCTATATTAAGTAACTGTATTCAGTTTGTCATGAGCATGGGACAAAGAAAAAATTCTGAGTCCCCGATGGGAGTCGAACCCATGACCTTCCACGCACATGGCGGATGCTCCAATCACTTAGCTACAGGAGACTTGTGGCAAGCTTGGTCATTTACCTGGTTCATACACATGTATGTGACATATGTCCTGCATACTGCTTTCGACATGACTGATCCTAGCAGTATGCTAGACGTATGTTAGACGTATGTTAGAGTATCCAATCGGTATGCGGAAGATAATGGGTTTGACTCCCATAGAGGACTCAGACGTTTTTTCTTTGTCCCATGCTTGTGACAAACTGGATAATCAATTACTTACCACAATATGACCACAACATTTACCATCTTTGTATTGATCACCAACTAGGCAATATATATTTTTTTCAGGACCAATTAAATTTAAGCAGTGCTCAGTTGAGTTTTGTTCAAAATATAGTTGAGGGTTCTGATGGGTTATCAACAATTCACACACTTGTTGAATGTTGTAAAGTCATTGAACACAAACGTATCTGTTTATTGTAACAGAAGTGGTTCATTCTTGTATGCACAATTGTCGAACTTGTGTATTAAATGTAAAAAGAGGTAAATAGTTTATTTGAGCGTTTTTTGTGTGTTTAGATTCCAAAACTTAATCACATTCGATTCTAGTAAGGAGAATTTCGCTATTGAGAATTTTGAGCCGTGTCTAATAGTTGTCGTAGCCTAGCTCCTTTGCATTTTTATCCTGTTGCAATTTCATAAAAGGAATAAAACCTCCTTTTCTTTGTCGTACTCTGATAACGATCATAGCTACGTCATTTCGCTCACTCGATGGCTACATACATACATAAACTTTATTTTAACTCGAATTTACAGAGTATCAATTTAAGCAAACAAACAAACAAACAAACAAACAAAACAAACAAAACAAACAAACAAATTACAAGACAAACCTGTGGCTCGGGTTCTCTCTACGCCAGATCTCGGGAGAGAAATGACGTGGCTAAGATATTTATCAGAGTATAAAGACATAGGAACAGAGGTTTTATTCCTTAAATATTAATGCTAGGTTTTGTGTTCACAAGACCACGGATTCGATCCTCCGTATGGATCTCGTCAGTTTCCAGTATTTTCTTATGTGTTCTTTAGTTGCTAGAACAACTCATGTCAGATCGACATTCTTGCAGCTTTACATGTAGCGTATTCATGTTAATAAGGCTTAAGTCTTTTTACAAGACTTAGGTGACTTATCTGGAGCACAATTCGCTGTCCATTAGGCCACCACGTCTCACAAATTCATTTGAAAAGAAAGGATTTATTACATAGATACTTTGTCATGCTTTTGGCTAACATCTTGGATTGCAAGTGAGCACTGTATACCCAGAGGCCTTTGCAGGAACCATGGCAGCCACCTTCGATTATGCAACTGGGATTCACATAAATCCTTTATTGGTGTGTTATATTCCTACAGACAGGAGTAAATTGAATCCCCAACCCAGTTGTGCAATGATGTATATATTATATTTCAAATATATTGACTTATTTTGCATTAATATGAGCACCATATTACTTTTCTCTTGTGTTTGAAGGTCTAAGGACGTCCTTATGTATGAAGTACCTTGATGGCTACAAATTACACAAAGTTCAGCAATAGCTTTATTCAAACTGGCAATCTGGATGAAGATATATCAAGTGAATTGTTTTCCTTAGACGAAAAAACATTTAAATGCAAGGAGTGTGGTAAATGTTTTTACTACGCAGGTCAGCTAAAAAAACATGAAACAGTGCACACTGGAGAGACCCAATTTAAATGCAGCCAGTGTGGCAAGTGCTTTAGTAGGAAAGGGAATCTAAAGCAACATAAAACAATTCACACAGCGGAGAAACCTTTTAAATGCAATCAGTGTGGTACATACTTTAGAGAGAGAGGAGTTCTTAAACGACATAAACTAACACACACAGGAGAGAAGCCTTTTGTATGTGATCAGTGTGGCAAGTGTTTTAATCGCGCAGGATCTTTAAAGGAACATGAAAGAATACACACCACCACGGAGAAGCCTTTTGAATGTAATCAGTGTGGGAAGTGTTTTAAACACGCAGGAACTCTAAAGAGACATGAACGAATACACACTGGAGTGAAGCCTTTTAAATGTAATCAGTATGGTAAGCGCTTTGGTAACAAAGGACAGCTAAAGCAACATATAATAATTCACACAGCAGAGAAGCCTTTTAAATGCAATCAGTGTGGTACATGCTTTAACCAGAGATCAGGTCTAAAAGGACACAAAGTAACGTCACACACAGGAGATAAGCCTTTTGAATGCAATCAGTGTGGCAAGCGTTTTAATCGGGCAGCAAATCTAAAGCAACATGAAAGAATACACACAGGCGAGAAGCCTTTTTTATGTAATAAATGTGGCAAGTGTTTTAATAACGCCGGAAATCTAAAGGAACACGAAAGAATACACACAGGAGAGAAGATTTTTGTTTGTGATCAGTGTGGTAAGCGTTTTAATCAGGCAGGGACTCTAAAGAAACATAAAATATTGCACGCAGGAGAGAAGTCGTTTACATGTAATCAGTGTGGAAAGTGTTTTCATGGAGCAGGAACTCTAAAGAGACATGAAAGAATACATACAGGGGAGAAGCCTTTTGAATGTAATCAATGTAGCAAATGCTTTAATCTGGTAGGAAATCTAAAGAAACATGAAAGAATACACACAGGCGAGAAGCCTTTTGAATGTAATCAGTGTGGCAAGTGCTTTCGTTATGTAGGGAATCTAACGCAACATAGAGCAACACATGACGTAGGGAAGCCACATATGAACGAGGAGCATGACAATTGCTTCAGTATCTCCGAACTTTTAAGCGACATGAAAGAAATCAAACAGGAATGAAGCGTTATTTACGTGTGCCTTGTGACGAGTCGTTTATTTATATATGTTACAGATTGTTATGGAGAGTAAACTGAGCACAGCAACTAGCATTTGGTGACACCTATTATGCAACAAATAGTGCGAGGAGTGTTTTAGCCAGGTATCTTCTCACCCATCGGGTAAGCATACTTCTAATGTATCAATTTTTGCGGAGCCAAGAGCTGTTATTCTTTATGGCGAGACACGTTTTTCCCAGTTCCGTTTTCATAAAATAAAATATATATTTGTTGTATTCTTTTTGTTCTTTCAGTGCTTCTAAATATAGAGAGGCCAATGCATAAACTGAAATTCACGTGAACTGAATACTTCTATTTGATAAGTTTTTTTTGTTAAATAATAACTGATTATATATTGTAAAATAATAAGTGCTATATGACACGTATAAACGTGACTAGTTACATAATATAGAAATAATAATTGTAAAATAGTATGTTCAGTATATATTTATTTTCGCTATATTGAATTTAAATTTATCTATTTTCATTAATAATATATCTACTGGTTTGAGTTAAACATAGAGTTAGTAATAACAATGTAGTGTAAGTAATCGCAAATCGCTTTTGCAAGTAGTGTAAGTATTGTTAGGTAAGTATAAATTAGCATTTGTAAGCAGTGTAAGTACTGTATTGTGAGCAGTGCAAGTATCGTATGATAAGTAGCGTAAGTACCGTATTGTAAGCAGTGCAAGTATTATTATTAATGTAAGTATCGTAAGTATTATTATTATTATTAATTATAAGTAATGTAAGTATCGTAAGTAGTGTAAGTATCGTATTGTATGTAATGTAAGGTATTGTAAGTAGAGCATCAAATTGTATAAAGTTATATAAGTAATGCTCAATAAAGTCTTTACTTACTCCAAAAAAAACAAAAACGTTTTTTTGTTAATTGCGTATTTTTTTAAGGAGCAGTGACGAACTTTACATCAAAATGGAAAATAGGAATTTGTTGTCTCCTGTTATTTTAGTGAATAAATAAAATAGTTGTTTGATCCATCGGTACAGTGTATCCATTATTTCGATGCCGATTGCGTGATTAAGTTTTATTTTCGCCTCAGGAAAGATTCTGTTATTACACTCACTGACATTTTGAAAGAATCTGGAAAATCAAACAAGAAAAGGATTGCCCCTCACACCAATGCAGCAAGTGCTTCTGACCTTACGTTTTTATGCTACAACCAGCTTTCATCAAGTAATTGGAGATTTGTTTGGGGTTTCTAATTATGCTGTCTGTAAGGTAATCCACCGAGTTTGAAGAGTAATTTATATTGCTAGTGTAAAATCCTATTCCAGCAACCAGGGGGGGCAGGCAGCGCCCTTTGATCTTGCCGCTTTTCCGCAATACATGATCGCACAAGTAAAGAAATCTGTCAATCATTCGAGAAACGTACCTCTACGGGAGTTTGCTGTGGAATTTTCATCCATGGTGTCCCACAATGACCAAAGTTCAGTTAAACAGCGACCGAATCGTTCCCATAGATGTTTGGACGTGGAATCGCCAAAATATTTCTGAACGAACACAAACGCACGTCATGTCAGCCATCGTCCGCCATGTTTATTTTAAACAAACCAGTACTTAGTCGCGCTCGGCCAAATTTCTAAAATGTGCAATCATATATACTAGGTCCCATGCCTCGCTGCTAGCCCCCCCTGCCAGCAACTATCCAATTATTTCTCAAATTGGACAGCACAAGTTCCCGTGCACAATATAATTAACACCTAATATGGCTGTCCAATTTGGGAAATAATTCGATTCAAAAAATTCCTCTGACTGCCAAATTGGACTCGGCCTACGGCCTTGTCCAATTTAGCAGTCCTCGGCATTTTCATCATCCAATAATTTCCCGAATTGGACAGCTCGTAGTCCTATTACATTTAACAAATTGACGTCAGTTTTTTATGCGTCTGTCCTGTTATTGATCATGAATTGCACTGTTGGTCTGTTGCCCGGCATCGCTATGTCCTCAAAGAAAAGTGGTGGCTTTCTACCCCCTCCCCCCCCACCCCTGTCCGCGACTAAAAGACTCGGTAGTGGCCCGGCTAAAGAGGTAGGATGAGAGCTGGGGCAGAGTGCTGTTTGCGTGATGCAGTATTTTTAAAGTGCCCCCCGCGATCAAATTGTTGATATTCAATTTTTTACATTTTCGTGTACAATATTGGATTGAAATTTGGCAAGATAT